CTTTCCCTTATTGGGCGGTCACAACTTACGACGGCGATCCATACGTGCCAAAGGTTGCCTGGCGGTACCTCTTGCGAGCGATCGAGTATTGCCGAGAGAATGGCCTGAGAGTGAACCTCGACCTGCATTCCGTCCCGGGAAGTCAGAATGGATGGGCTCACAGTGGTCACCAGGGAGATATTGGTTGGATCCTGGGCCCTGATGGCGCCACCAATGCCCAGCGGTCACTGGATATCCACAACCAATTGTCCCAGTTTTTTGCCCAGGATCGGTACAAGAACGTGGTGACCATCTATGGTTTAGTCAACGAACCAAAGATGTTGGTAATTCCACCTCAGTCTGTGCTTGACTGGAACCAAAAAGCCATTGCAATCGTGCGAGGTAATGGCATCAAGCAGCGGATCGTCTTCGGTGACGGCTTCCTTAGCCTGGATACCTGGGACGACATGTTCCACGGCGTCGACGACAACCTTGTCATGGACACCCACCAATACCAAATCTTCAACACAGGACAACTGAAGTTGAAACACCAAGACAAGATCAACCTCGCATGTTCAGGCTGGACTGGGTTAATGGTTGCCGCCAACAACCCTCAAACCGGATGGGGTCCAACTCTGGACGGCGAATGGTCTCAAGCCGATACTGATTGTACACCAAATCTAAACAACGTAGGCGTGGGCTCCAGGTGGGCTGGTACGCTCGACACTGGCGACCCCGAAACATCAGTTCTCACACCCACCTGTGCCGAGCCGCCCTGTTCATGTGCACAAGCTAATGCTGACCCAAGCGAGTACAGCGCTGCTTACAAGCAGTTTCTGCAGATGTACGCCGAGGCCCAGATGCACAGCTTTGAACAGGCCTGGGGTTGGTTCTATTGGACTTGGAAAACCGAGAACGCTGTACAGTGGAGTTGGATGTTGGGCTTGCAGGCTGGCATATTGCCGGAAAAAGCGTACGCCCCATCTTTCAAATGTGATTCTGAAGTTCCTGATTTTAGCGACCTGCCTGAGAGTTATTGATACCATGTGATGCTGGGATGTGACAGACAGCATGGGAATGGAGTTCTGGGAAGATCGCTGATCCGCTGCGAGGTTGGCATAATGGCAGAAATGTGGATAGGAAAGGCGCTTTGACCACGAAGATGAGGCATGAATGAACATATTATCAAAGAATCTTACCTGTTCCGGAATCTCCATAATCACTTCGAGTCTTTGTCCACTTTTGAGGTGTGTTGCGAGTGTCTCTTTGTCGTAAGGCTGGCACTTTCGTATATAAAAAAGCAAGGACCCTCAGGCGACATGGCATTCAACCACCATACATCCTCATTTCTATTTCCTTTCACTTGACTTTAAACATGTCTCACTTCCACCTTGACTAGGATCATTCACTTGTGTTGCTATTGTGCTGAGCCTGTGAAAAGGAAGCCTGAAGCGTCGACTTCACTGCAACCCTGACTCTCACTCGTCTTCACGCACTGTCTTCACGTGCAGGTGATTGCCGCACCATATTTCATTGTTGATTTTGAGTCGGTTGAAATGGCGTATATCGCAATACTACTACCACCTCCACAACGTCAGAGCATAACTAGGTCACCACGACGACGATACCGTCGTCGATAACAAGCAAACACCCCAACAGCAGCGTAACACCCACGAGCTTTTCATTGGCGAGGGATTCCGATGCAATGAGGGAGTATCATCGAAACCCCTTTGATCCTGGTATCCCACCGACATACCAGGGTCTCGATGATCGCGGTATCAATTCACCAGAGGATCGCCTCGGTGAGATTGATCTCGGCCGTGCACAACTCCATATTGGCGGCAGTCGCTCCGGATGGGAAGAAGCCGTGTCATTTCCTTTTCCAGAACATCCGCGGTCACCAAGTCACCAAAGCATCAGATACACGCCACGACCAGAGTCGGTTGTCAATAGTCCTTTTCGCCCGCGTCTGAATTCTTTTACGCCACACGCTCAGTGGTCCCCTGTTATCGGTGCATCACCAGTTTCTGCGGCCTTTGTTGACCCCGAGGACAGTGATCGAGGGTCAGTAGTGGTGGAGAATTTCCAGCATGGTACTCCGTTTGAAGATGGCGATTCTCCAAGTGCTGTGCAGGATCATGGAGTTGCCGGACAAAGAGGACTCAAACTGCCGCCAATTCGCAGTGGCTCTGGCCATCAAGATACTCAACTTCCAGGTAAGTTATTGGTCCACAGAGACTTTGATAAACCACAAGCTGATACGACAACAGGCATTCATCAAATTCTTGGTCTCTCCACGATCCACCCGAAAACTGCCTCAGCTCATTGTCGCAAACACCAAGAGGGCCCGTTGTTGAAAGCAGAGACATTGTTTGTGGATGGGCGTTCAAAGCGAACACACAAGCGCGGGAGAGGATCGTTTGAGGCACCGGATGCCCCATATAAAGCTGGCCTTGTATGCCGTTCAACACCCGCATTCCTCAACCAGATGTCTCCCACGCAAGATATGATGCAGTTCAGCGATATGGAACCACCACCACCACCACCAAAGCGACCATATCGTTTGCCCCGCGGGATGTTCGGAATACCTTGTCGTCCCCCAGGAGTCCCTCCGCCACCCAAGACCTCGATAGCAGAACCCCAAAGAGACCCTTTGCCTCCCAAGACCCCGATAGCAGAATCCGCGCAAGACAACACCCAGCCGGCACAGAGCCCAAGAACACAGCCTCCAGAGAGCCCGAGAGATATCGGGGCGAATTCGCAAGCAAAGCTGATTGTGAAATTGGCATCGAGGTCGGCATCCCATATCACTCGGAGACCCCACGAAGTCTTCAACGAAGAGCAGTGCCAAAAAATGTTGTGGCTTGCCCTTCATGGAGTATCACGTCCGACTATTGCGCGACTGCTGTACAATGACGTCGATAAATCCAAACCATTTTCCAACAAGACCGAGCTTGTGGCTGGCATTGATAAGTTGGTACGGCTCTTCATCGCCGAGCTTGCGTTGGGCCAAGATAGAACAAGTGGAGTCGACGACATGGTTGAGCATCTGCTGCAAGAGGGAGATCGCCTGGACTGGAGTCCTTATCTACTTCGGCAAGCAGTTGGTCTCATGAGTACTTCTGGAGATGAGGCCACCCAAAGTCAAGAGGTTCGAGAGGTCGCTTTGGAGCGTCACGCACTCTCTAAGTGGCGAAGCACTCATGGTGGCGAGAATCCGTTTCAACCCAGCCTGGGCAGCACGCGTCGAAATCAAATTCAGGCATTCCGAGGATTGATGAGAGAATCAGTGGAGCGAGAAATGATGGAACAGCTTGGATACCGGGAGGACAATCATGACGTGGAGAGAGCACTGATGAAGAAGTGGTTGCTCAGGATTCGCGAACTCGGCAAGCTCCCTGACCGTCTGATGGAGGCTGAACTCGGAGCTCACAGCTCAAGTCCAGGAGATGCCCACAAATCTAGTGAGCACAAGATGCCACTGTGACAGGATGGTGAAGCAAGAGCTGGTGACGTATGGTTTTGTCAACCCCTGAGTCGCTGTCCGTCTGGAGCTGATAGCATTGAAAGAGGGGCTACCCATAATCTGAAGCTTCTGGGATACCATGTGGCTGTGAATTGTTCGTGTTTCTTCTAACCTTCTTGGGGGCAGAGGCAAAAGTTGGATTCCCTCAGCAATGACCTCAAGGGAGATTGAGTCACTGCTCAGGAAACCGAGTCGGTGTTGTGAGCTGGAGGATTGCAGATTGGAGGGATAGCTTGCCAGCAGCTTCATAATAGCGTTACATCCCGAGTTTTCAATACAGAAGAAAAGTGAATGATGAAACTCGACTTGCGCAGGTCGGTTCACATGGGGTCTTTCTTGGACTCTGATTGGACAGCCTCGTCTTGTGCAGCCTTGTCCCGATTTCTAGTGCAACGTACTCGGTACAGCGCGAACCACCATCAGAAAATACTCTCTTATTATTGATCATCACTACTTAATCGCTCCAGCAAGAAAAGGGAACACGGATCTCGTAGGCTGCCATCGATTGATGTCTTGACTACATTTGCAACACTCGAATGAAAATTAGTTTGCTCCGCCGCCATGTCATCCTCCTCGCAATCGTCCAAGGCATTGCCTCACGGTCACGGCAAGCAGCCTGACAACAGCCCCGGCCTCTCCACGAAGGCCACAGACAATGACAACGACGATGACAGTAACGGCGAAGATGATGCCGGCCCTGGAGGCGATCTTCCCATGAGCATGACCGCTTCCGTCATGTTGACCAACTTACCCAAGGATGCGAGCCAGGCTCTTAGGGAGGTCGAAGAGATTGATGATCGAAAAGGTACATTTTCTTCCATTAACCACACAGAATTGCTCTCCGCGCACATATCTCTCGTGTTCTCTCAAATTCTAATCTATGCGGATGTTCTGTGAGCATGTAAAAAAACAGTCTCTGTCCGCTTCCAGCCCGTTGGCGCGGCCCCGATCCTCAAACAGCGCGTCTTCAAAATCAGTGCCTCGTCGAAATTCAGCGTCGTGTTGAATTTCCTCAGGAAGAAGGTCGGCGTCAAAGAGGGTGACGGCCTGTTTTGCTATGTGAATAGTGTGTTCGCACCAGGTTTGGATGAGGGCGTGGGGAACTTGTACCGGGTACGTTTGCGCCTCTACTAGCACCCCTTGTCCGCTCTTCATGGAGTTGCTTCTGTCGTTTGCACGAGTGGGATGCTCTGGTTTCTTGCCTCCCACTCGACTCTGACAGTGCTGGTATTGCGCTCCATTCTCTGGCACTGTAAATTGAATCTGCTAAATAAAATCGCAAGCGGAGATCATGCTAACCACGGTCCTTGTTTATCAAAACTAGTGTTTCAAGGTGGATGACCAATTGATCGTCAGCTACTCTACAACGCCAGCTTTTGGATGAGCCTAAGCCTGTCCCAGCTCTGTTTTGACCAAACGATGTGCGCTTGCTTGAGGATGAGCCCAACAACACCGAAAATATGCCATGGCAAAGATCAAAGCAACGCCGAGGGTATCAAGCCTTCTGCTCCTCCGCAGATTGAATGGCCACCTTAAACGCCTCCGTAACTTTTGCATCACTCTTGTACACATGCGACGGACCGGGATAACTTCGATCACCGACCTCATTCTTGTACTGTTTGATGGCGTCCAGTCCAGCTTCCCATATCGAACCATACTTTTTGACGAACTTGGGCATGAAACTATCAGGCGGGCGAACACCGAGCATGTCGATCTGCACCAGAACCTGTCCACTTGTTTTGTTGCCTGCACCGATGCCGATGGTGGGTATCCTGAGGGCCTTGGTAACTTCCTCTGCGATATCGGGCGGTACACATTCCAACACAACCACAAAAGCTCCTGCCTCCTCCACAGCCTTTGCATCTTTGAGCAGAGACATTGCCTTTTCCAGTGTATTGCCTTGTACGCGGAAGCCCCCAAGAGCATGCTGACGTTGCGGGGTGAGACCGATGTGTGCACAAACTGGGATGCCAGCGCTTGTGATCTTCTTGATTGCGGGTGCCATCTCGACTCCCCCTTCAAGTTTGACACTTTGCATGCGTCCTTCTTTGATCATTCGAATCGCACTGGCTAGGGCTTGTTCCGGGCTCAGTTCATACGAACCCATAGGGAGATCGCCGACGGTGAAGGACCGGGTCACCGCTCGACTGACTGCGCGGGCCGACACGATCATTTCGTCGAGGGTGACTTCGGACGTGTCTTGCATGCCCAAGGACACCATAGCAAGGGAATCACCGACCAAGATCATATCCATTCCAGCTTCTTGTGCCATGAGTGCCGAAGGGAAATTGTGGGCAGTCAACATCGTGATGGGTTTGTCCTCAGCATACATTTTCTGAAGGGTTTGGATGGTGACTGGCTTCTGGCCTCTAGCCAGCAAGGCTGGGGACGAGGGGGCATGCGAGCTCCAGCGAACTTGTCGCCACTGTCGGTGAGATTGGGGAACAGCTGGGCGACAGATGTCGCGGAGAAGTGGTCGTGTGAGAGACACAATTCGATTGATGCGGACGATGAATGCCATTTTTGTTCACCCGAGCCCGAAAATAAGTAGATACGAAGGAGGAGGGGGGACAGGATGAAAGAGTAGTCTCAAACTGTTGTGACACATATTACAGAACTGAACGCGGTGGCGGTGAAAAATGAGGTTTTATTCACTGTTGTCGTGATGAATTCTTTATGCGTAGATCTGAGAAAAGGTCTGGAGGAGAAGATGAGCCTCGGCGTCGATGGTGCAGGGCCGAGCAGGAAGCGTACTCTGGGGGTTAGTGAGATCAACAGGGGTTCCTGTTGGTTGTAGCTAGGTAGCCTAATACTTATAAAGTTTAGAGGGAAAGGTCTTCCGGGGGCACTCCTGGGCACCAGTTGGGGCGAGAATGTGATTCTGGTCCTCTGGCGTCACTCAACCACTTCGGCTGCCGACCGCTGCACATCTCCCTTTTGCCATCCATGATAATTAACGGCCGAACGAGGGTATGTCCCGGCTGGCGCTCTGCTTTGCCTCGGAAGCAGTCGAGCCTGTCCCTCCAACACCAGAATAAGTTATCAGCCTGGCGAGAGTGACTGCAAGGCTGTCATGCATCTGTTGTAAGTCCATATTTAGCTATCCTGCCTGTGTACCTAGCACCTCGGGACTTGAGCTGTGGCACATACGAGGGAGTTGAGTTCGCAGACCAGCTGACTCCCCAACCATTGGCTTTGGGAGCAAGGAGTGGGTATGAGTTCCTTTGTCACGCTGCTCCCAGCGCATGGTTGAAGGCGTGGACATGCCCACTACGCCAGACTGCGCGGTGAACCAGTCCGGCCTTGACAAATCAGTCAAGCCTCCCCACCACTGCCCTTGCCATCGAACCATCTCCAACCACAGCGAAACACTCCTCACCAAACCGCGACCAACTTCAAGCGGTATCGACATACCTCATACTCTTCACTCCTTGCCTTCACTCTTCCTAGTTTTGCTGCTTTCCACTGCGGTCTCTGCCACTGTCCTGTTTCTTCACCTCCAAACAAGCCCTTCACTATCTGTTAGCCTGATCACGGCTCTTGTGAGACGCCCCCTCCTTCAGGAAGACAACGGAAAAAGCCGAGTCCAGTCCGCGACAGAATATCCGATCATCCCCTCGTGATCCTGCCTTTTCCGATCTTGCTTCTACAGCCCGCCACCCCAGATCTGATAGACATTCCTCCCAAGGCATCGAGACACAGAATCAATCCATCGTGCCCCTCTCTCGATCATAAACATATCGCCCAAGTGCCTGATATTCTTCTTGTGGACAGAGCCTACGTCCTAGCGAGATCTTCGGTTGACGAGGCACAATGAGTAGCCCGAAGCGGAGGATAGAGACCGATGTCATGAAGCTGATGATGAGCGACTACGAGGTCACACTGGTCAACGACAACATGCAAGAATTCTTCGTCATATTCAAAGGGCCTTCGGAAAGTAAGAGCATGAACTTCCCCCGTCAAAGCTCTCGGGTTATCATATTGCTACAAGATTGAGGGCCACTGACAAAACGATGTATGTACAGCACCCTTTGCCGAGGGCAAATGGAAAGTTCATGTCGAACTGCCAGATCAGTACCCCTACAAATCGCCTTCCATCGGCTTCGTTAACAAGATTTTCCATCCAAACATTGACGAGGGGTTAGTCATCTGATGCTGGGAACTCCGATGCAAGCAAGTGGTTCTGATATGGTTTCCTAGGTCGGGATCAGTGTGTCTGGACGTCATCAATCAGACATGGTCACCCATGTTCGACATGATAAATATCTTCGAAGTCTTCTTGCCTCAGCTCCTGCGATACCCTAATCCTACCGATCCATTGAACGGAGAAGCCGCTGCACTACTGATGCGAGAACCTCGAAGCTACGATGCTAGGGTCAAAGGTGAGATGCACATTTCGCAGGACAAACAAAAGGAGGAGATATATTAACTGCTATTAAGAGTACATTGCACAGTATGCTACGAACATCCACGACGACCACGATGAGGACGAACATGAAACGGACGGAGAATTGAGCGAGGTGGAAGATTTCAACAGCGATGGAGAGGATGAGCCAGCTGGTACAATGGAGGATGTTTGACTTTGGAGTCTTGGTGACCTGGAGTTCTGTTGCCATTTGGAGTATACTGGGCGCTACTGGGTGAACGAGGAACAAACAGCGATATGTGATGGGTTGGGTTGATTCTATTTCAAGTTGCGAGCCCCCTCTGAAGTTTTGACAGACTCAACTGGCTGTAAAAGCTGTTGCCCTACTAGAGCTGCTTTCGTCTTGAACAACACCATGTTGCGTGGCCCGTAGACACAGCAAGCCGACTGACCGTGGAGCTGCAGAGGATCTGTGGATCGCTCATTAGAGTTAACACATTCTGAGCCTAGAAAGAGAGGTCACTTAGTTGCGAAGAGTACGACCAGCACACGTCTCGCCTCAAGGCTATGATGGATGTTCACAAGACGGTTTACGCCGTGGTGGTTCTGGCGTGTCTGGACAGTCAGAGCGAACTGAGTTGCGGGCGCATCCATCTCTGCAGCAGCCCCTGCGTCATCGTCTGGGGGCTCGGTTCTCCTAAGGCGAAGTGACGTGTTTTCCCGGCCACGCGACCTCTTCACCTGCTAGTCCTACTCCCACCAACCTTGTCGCATGGTGCACTTGTCCCAGGGAAGCCAGGTGAGTTGAAGCCTGAAACACTCCGCTTGCGGGGCCTGGCATCTCATCGCATTTCTCCATCTTCAGGACGACTTCACCCTCTCATTTCGAGGTCAATTTCCGGACGATTGAACCACTGTCCCCCGATCATGTTGTTGCTATCTCTCGAGTGTTTACCCCCAGAAGTCCTCCTCCGCATCCTCTTCTTCCTGGAGATCCCCGACCTGCTCCAAGTGAGTCGCACGTGCCACACGCTGCGCGAGATTGCTTGCGACCCTCTGCTTCACCTCGAGCGACTGCATCACGTCTCCTATACTCTATCCACCCTGCTAGCCCGACGGCCGTCCAAGTCTGCCATTAGTCCTCCCAATTCTTGGATCTGGCTCAGCAGGACCAATGTTCTCTCGCGGCAAATCAGCAAGAGTTTGATCCGCATACGCCTGAGCCATAACCTCGAACACAGACCCAGTCCGTTTGACCTGGTACAGAGGGCGATCCTCCCGTCTACATGCACCAGTTATTCCTCGCCGGTTTCGCCGGTCTTGATACAGTCACAGCAGGCGGTCCAAAGGAGCAAATTAAAAGATGGACTGTGTCGCAAACTAGAGCGCCGCCCGAGCATGAACAGTCTGGTGTCACTTAACATTATGCCTGAAGAGTGCGTCCGACACAGTGTCTCGCCTGCCATCGTGGCTACGAGGCGCAAAGTGATTAGAGAGAGCTTGAAGGATGGGCTTCGTGCGTGGGTTGAAGGGCGCGCCCTACAAGCACAAAAAAGGAAAGCAGACGAGATGGATGCAACGGAGAAGACTACAGTAAAGAGCCTGGTGAGGAGATTCGCCGCAAGAAAGGTTGCTGTGGACTTGGAATGCAGGCGGGTAAGTCGTCTCGATCCAGTGATCGCAGAGAAGAGGAGGGCACAAGCGAAATGGGGCAGGGAGGTAGAGCTTGCAAAGAAGGATGAAGAACGACGAGCTGCTACCAACGGTGCGTGTGCGCAGCCGACGAGGGCGCATGTCCTGGGGCTCAAAAAGTTCTGGGAAGGAGTAATCAGGGCGGCTGCTGGATGAGTGATACATTCTTTTTGCTGAGTTTGATGAGTGTCTTGAGCATTTGGTGGTGGTTCAACAGGTCTATACCCAGGGTGATGTTGGCGCTTGATTGTTTTGTTACCTTTCAATAAAGCCGGCATTTTACACATGAGATCCATGGTGCGCATATATATCAGCCTCTCTTTATGATTAAAGGTCCATGCAACCTCGAGAATCTTGTCACGGTAGGACAGATTCGGGCCCAGCGCAGCGCACACAAGACGAAGCATCTCACTCGACCTGCGTCGCCATTTGTTCAGCGGGAGACGCAGTATACTTGTACACAGCACTTCCTCGTATGCCGCGGGTTGCGAGCCAACCCATCACCCCACATCTCGAGGACTGTTACCCTTCCATCACGAATTGCGCGTAGCTGCGGCCGAGAGCGCGGACGGGCCAACAGGGCTGAGCTGGTTGGTCCGTGTCACCAAATGACGACAGATATCTAAAAGGTGAGGGGAATTGAGTGGTTATGTTGTGGCCCGAGCGACACGACCGAGAGACCGAGACTGTACGATGGGTCAACTATCAAAGAGCTGGGCTCTGTTGACCAGCGCCTTGCTGTGTTTAATCCCGTGGGCTGGATCGCGAATACTGACAGCGAGCCTAGGCCCTGAACGAACGGGGGGATGGATGGCCGTATTGGGAAACTGGAACATGTTCCTGTGATGCCCAAACGAGTTGGTGTGAGTCACTTGCGAGAAGTGGTCTAGGTAGACTCTAGACCTGTACCGGTGTGGGCGGCGAGTGGTGGTGTTACTCGCTTATGATCGGATTTGCTTGGCCTGCGTAGGTATGGGGCGAGGGGCTCTAGAGAGACACGAGAACTTGACGAGTTCTAAGACTTGGATACTTCCTCACAGTCGAGCTCTGCGTGATATAAATACTGGGGAAATACGAGCAGATCACACAATGGACGCATTCGTACTTGATTTGCAGACACCGTCAAGGGTTCTACATAGAACTCGCACCCATTCAAAAGGGTTCATTTCCCTACAGTTCTCAAAACACACATTTAGTCCTCAGTATCTGAGTTACCCCCCTACCTACCCCCTCTACAAACTTTCTCGACCTTGATGCCGCTGGGCAGTGGCGCTAATACCACCACTACTACTATCACAACGACTACTATGAATGCTGAATCGAGTCAAAGCGACGTCCTTACTACTGTCACGCTTGGGGAACAGATTGCGAGTAATGACAACACCAGAAAAGATATCGTCGACTCATCCTCTGCGGCCGACGACTGCGACGAGTTTGATGGCGACTACGAATTCGATGAGGAC